CCTATAAATATTCACAAAGCATAAACACCAAGGAAGGGAAGGAATTCCTTGCAGTGAATAAAGAGATTCTGTTGGGAGTGAATGAAGAGAGACAAAAATGTGGCTTGTGTATCAGGGTGAACTTCTTGAGGCACAATCTAGTAGGCAGCACAAGTCCACTTGCTGGCAGGATTTGGAAGGATTGAACAAAGCCTTAGTACAGCAGGGAATAACCCGCTCTTGGCAGCAAGTCGGCGGGATGCTCTGAGTGGCCTTTCAGTCTCCCACAGCCATGGAGCTGTCCCAGTACCCTGCTCCCACAGGAGACAGCTGCTCTCCTGTGCAAGCACATTGTTCACCATCCTGCTCACCAGTATCACTGCCTGGCCTCCATAGGACTACACATACATAATCAACTGTAATAGGTATCAAACCACTGGACACAGCTGGGAACCCCAGTAGGTCCCTGCAATGTCAAGTACTCACCACTGAAAATCTAAGTCCAGGAAATTAGATTATAAACCCACTAAAGCAAGAACAATCCTTTTGTTCTCTCCTTATTTAGCACCTAACACAACAGGATTCTTGGCACTGGTGCAAGGACACTGTTTATAGTAATAAAAATAGGATCTAATAGTCTGAGGCTACTGGACTCCTGCAAAGCCAAGGATGAGAAGGGCATTCAAAAGCAGTCATAGCTGAAGGTATCCTCAGAAAAAAATCTCTGCAGAAAGGTGGTAAACTGATACACAGCCCACACCAGAAATACTCACACATGTTTAACTTACAATTAAAGTGACCACAGAAAAAGGTTACTTGTTCAGCTGAAACACAGAATTAAAAGTTACTTCTAGCATGTGTTTTGGGGTCTGGGTGTGGTTTCTAGATAGCCTGAAATTTCAGTCTACTGTTTCTCCTGTCATCATTAGCCAAGTTTTGATGTGTTCCAGTTCTCTTAAACACTGCCGACAGATGCTAAAATCAAAGTTGACATTCAACCTACGCGCTGCATAATCTAATAACGGGACCCGTGCTACTCAAATCTAACAAGAGCTTTTCTGCAGCAAAACTCTGCTGTTATTTACATTTTCATCCATCTTTCCAGGATTCCAACAGGAAAAAAAGATATTTTTTTTTTCTCTGAAAAGCTTTAAAAATAACATGTCATTGTGTTTTTGTATCAATAGGGAAAAAGAGACACTTCAAAGCCAGAACCTGCCAGTGTCCACCACTTGTGGACTTGGTAAAGAGTGTGAACAAGGTAAATCCGATTGTCTCAGTGGGGAGCTTGATGTACACATTGATCTCAGAGTACAGGATAAAAGCCCACTTCTGAAGATCTCTGTCTGTGACTCAGACAAGGCCGAAATGTCACATGCTTGTCAGTGTTTCTTATTAATTCAGTAGAAAAAGTCCACATGGGGAACTTTTTTAGTGTTCAACCAAACAGACAGTGTCAAGTTTAAAGCATTATTAAAAAAAATAAACTCAAGCAAATCTCTTCAAACACTTGGTCATGAGACTTCTGTTGATTTATGTACTACTGCACCAGTTGTAAGTCGAGAGCTGCTGTTGCACTGATCCAAAAGTCTAATAGTGCCACAGCAGCTGAGCTTCACTAAAGCATTCTCAGTTTCAGATGGATTCAAACCGTGATGATTTAATAAGCTATTCACTGAAAATGAGAAAGCATCATTATAAAAGACATGATTATCACACTAGCACCCTGCTAAAACTCAGTAATGGATTTCAACCCTCCTATCATTCGATGCTCTGAGCACTGGCATTTCAGAGACACCAGAGTTTCTTTCCTGATACACAGAAACAGAACTTTCCTGATTTTACATTTCAGAGTGTGAGGCCTTTTAAATTCTTAAAGAAAAAAACCCCACAGATTGTAGATTCCTAACCCCTCAGATCTCGCACAGTCTGAACTGGGTAGTGAAGGAGCTGTTCTATGAATCACATTTTCAGTTTCTGGCAGCACTCTTAGCCTAAAGAAGAAAGGTAACACATTAAAATCCTCACATTCTCACTGTGAGTTTCTTGGTATTGGAATGTCTCAGATACATCATCTTAAAATCATGAAGCTAGAAACTGTTGTTTTTCATACCTTTCTCTTCCTTGGCAAATATGAAAACCAAAGGAATTGTGTAACAGCATTGTGTAGGTGCTTCCTAATTTTGAGGTTGATTTAGGCAGTGATTGTATCACATCCATGAAAGCACTGTCTTTATAGATGACATATGCTATGTTGTGGGGAAACACAGGATCCCACTGAAAGCAAAATCTCTTTCCAAACTTTGTTCTGCCAGATGCAGCCTCCCCTAGCATTGGATTCCAGCTTTGGTTTTCTTCACAGCAATTTCTGGCTTTTGAAAATCTCCTTACTCAACAATTTGTGCTTGTGGGGAAAATATAGAAACCACACGATATTTTTTTTCACTTGTGCTTTTTTTATATCTCAGCCCTGGTTTTATCTATATCCACATACTTTGAAACATGGCTAACCTGCAATTATTGAAAGAACAAATAGAGTCATATCACATGACCCAGCATAATATATTAGCTGTTGAGGTTTTGGCCAGCTTGAGAAATGAAGATGAAACCTGCCAACCTGGTGAATATAAATGAGCTAAGTAAACTTTGCCTAACAAACATTTGAACCCAAGACAATTACGTTAATTTAACAGTACGTACATATATATGCATATGTAAACACACACATGCATTGCAATATTGAATGTAGTAGTATCATTTATGGGATTGTCTTCCTAATCTCATAATTGAATGCAAGTGCTGATCTTATCTGACCTCAACACTGTAATTTTCAAACTTAAAAATAAACACTGAAAGCAAGAATAGATCTTTTATGTTAAAGGAGAAGCTACACATGACAAACATCAGCGTGGTGTTACTGGAATGTAAAGACTTTAATGAAAGCTTAGGTAAAACTCAGCAAGTCTCTGGGGACGTTTCCAGGAATGAGTGATTCTTTTCTGAAGGAGACTCCAAAATCAGATCCAGTTACCTACCTAAAGTGCTTTTTCAACTAATTATGCACCAGTGTCATGCTCTTGATGATGTTCAGTTTTATGCACAATACAGAATGCCAGCCCTGTTCACAGCAAAGTCACTGGCAAACCCTGTTTGGACTTTAATGAGCCATGGATCTGACTTTGCTATTTAAGTATATGTTTTAAGGTCCAGCTTCTGTTCTTACTGAAATAAATGGAAATTCCCCCACTGACATCACACGGAAGAAGCACAGGGTTTAAATCAGACTAGAATAAAATAAATTGTATGAGGATTTGAGAAAGTTTTCTAATTAGACTTAAGTGAATAATCTTACATAATGCAGTACAACAAATCTCTGAGAGAGCAACTTGAACTAACAAAATATACAGAGGAGAATATGTATTTCTCAACCCATTAAGCCTTATTTTTGGGGAACAACATATGACAAAGACCTCACATAAGAACAGAAAAGTAACCCTATAGAAGTACCATGCTTAGAGGTTTCTTTCTGCAGTCTTGTCCTTTACACCTAATTGCAAACAACATGCAATCACTTTCACTACACTACTCTTCTGCAATGATCACTAAACTAAGCTCTGAGCTGCAGAGGCAAGTCAGCGTGGTGTACTGCTGCCCAAAACCTCAGATGAGTAAACTAAGAGGTGGAAAGGAAGCTAGCAGCAGGAAACCCAAGTGTCTGTGTTTCCAGTGTCCAGACTGCACTGGGGCCTCAGGGGCACCATCTCACCCTTTCTTTCACCTGCCCTTTCTGTTCAGGCCTGCAGTCTGAACCAAGGGGCTCCCTTGCATTTCCTAGGGAAATACCCCAAGGGTGGAGGAGCTTTGCTCCTCGTCGTAAACAGAAATCATTTTGCCTTTTTTTTCACAGCACAGTTGTCTTTGTTCTCCCATATGGTCTCTTAAGCCAGAACCTTTTCTTCTGAAACTGCTCCAAGAACTGCGGGGTTGAAAGATGCCTTTCTGAAAGGGAGCTGCAGTGTTGCAGCCTGTGCTGCTTGAGGCTCTGTGCGCAGCTGGGGCTCGCTGGCATGTCCCCGGAGCAGGAGACTACTTGTGAAGTTGGCCTTTGCTGGGACAGGTGTTGGATCCTCCCAGGAGTAATCCCCAATTCCCAGTGAAACACCACTGACAGTCACCTCTGAGACCTTCTTCCATCTAAACTCGGCTCCAGCACCCGTGGTGCTCCGTGCTCCGGACCGGAGCAAGCTGCAGTGGCAGGGGGGAAGCCCCACAGGGTTTCGGGGCCAGAGGGGGCAGTAACCCCACAACTATGGGAGCCGAAGGTGGGACCCAGGTGCTGCTCAGCACCGTTTGGCATCTCCACACGCCGCTCCGAGGGCACGGCGTAAGGGAAGCCCCTCGTCAGGGGGACTGTGAACCACCCCGCACCCCTCGGGCCCCACAGCTCGGCAGCATTCCCGGGGCTCCGGGCTCCCTCCGGGGCTCTCCCCGCCCGTCCCCTCCGCGGGCACACGGCGGTAGATGGGGCAGGGCAGCGCGGAGCACAACCGGACACCGCGGGTGCGCACGGCGGAGAAACCCCCGTCCCGGGCCGGGCGGGGTGCAGCGAGCGGAGCTCCGGCACCAGGTGCCTCCTGTCCCGCCAGCACGGGCCGGGGACACCCCGCGGACCCCGTCCCAGAGCCGCCTCGCAACTTCCCTGCGCTCTCCTTGCAACCTTCTCGCACCCCTCGCCTCTTTTCTTTGCACCTTCTTTGCCATCTCCGTGCTCTCTCTTTGCAGCTTTCCTGCACCCTCCTTGCCATGTCGCTGCGCTCTCCCTGTACCCTTCGTTCACACTCCTCGCTATCTCTTTGCGCTCTCCGTACAATTCCCTCGCACCCTAACTCCTCGCACCTTCGCAGCTCCCGGGTGAAGGGAGATGTCGGGGAGCCCCCCCGGCGGAGCGACCCCGACTCCGACACCCGCTCCCCTTCTCCTCCACCTATCCCGGAGCGGCAGCGGCTGCCGGTGGCACCTACCTAAGAGCAGCCCGGCGAGCCACCAGCACCGGACCATGGTGGCCGCTCTGCTTCCGACCCGAGCCGGCGGCAGGAGAGGCGCGATCGCCTCCAGTGCCCTCGGAGCTCAGCGGGGCGCGGCGCCCGGCGGGGCAGCCATGGGCCGCCTCCGGCGCTCCGGTGCCCGCGGCGGCGGGACCCCGGCTTCGGCCGGCGGGAGGCTGAGCGCGGCGGGCAGGCTCCGGAGCGGTCTTGCTCAGCCCAGAGCCTTTGCAAAGGGAGGAAAGAAAACAACGAAAAAGGAGTATTTTAAAATCAAACACCACAGCCACCCGCCCTCGGCGCGCAGCGCGTCCCTCCGGCCGCTGATAGCTCTAATGGAGCTTGGCAGCCACAGGTTCCAGTTGCCAGAAGAGGTGGAGACTCCGCCGCCTGCGCCCCACATGCGGCCGCGCACCGCACGCGCGGGAGGGGGGGGGGAGGAGGCTTGACCCTCCGCGCCTCCGGTCACTGGGGCCCGTGGCCCGAGCGGCACCGGCAGCTCCGCGTCCGAACCGGCACCCGCCTCTCGCGACCGGTACCCCTGCCTCGGGTGCGGTACCCGCGCCTCTGGGACCGGGATTTCTCCCTCAGGAACCGGCCCCGACGGCCGCCCCGGCCATGGGGCGCAATGGCTGCAGCGTCCCGCTCTGCGCCTCAGGGTCCCCGCGGCGCCCCAGGGTGGGTGTCACCCCTGCCTCCTCCTCAGCCGTGGCGGTGAGGCTGCCCCGGCTCCACCGAGGCCCTGGGGCCGCTGTGGGTCCTGGGCTCTCCTTTGAGGGGCACTGTGAGGGGATCCCCACAGCCTCTTCCTCCTGCTCACTGCAGGCCCAGTGTGGCTCCCTGAGGCCCAGCAGCCCTCCATTGTCTTCAGCCTAGACTGCCAGGGTCATGAATAGAATGGGGCCTTGAGAGCCTAGAAACCTTCTCAATATCCTTTGCTGACAAAATACAGGACCTTCTGAAAGCAACTGTCAAGTACCCACCTCAGGCAAAACTCACCCAGGGCCCTGGCGCTCATGCCAGCCAAGTCTGTCTCCATGACACAACTGAGGCCCATAGATAAAGGGCTTACAATCAGATCTTGGCATGAAGCTGAGCACAAATCTGAACTTGGACATGTCTAGGACAAAACAACATTTCTCCTTGTGTGTACTGAGGATTAGCAGTGAAGCAGCCTGTTTGTTGTCCTTCAAACACAGTAAAACGACATGGTTCCAATAACATGAGAGCTCAGTTGTATGTGGAAGCCGCGAGGAGAAGAGGCCATGGTGGCCCTGGCAGTCTTAACGCTCATGATGGTGCAGGCACTAAAGGTTGGACGTTAAGTGCATTCTTCCAGACTGAAAAAGTAGGTTCAGTTTTTGCAAAGGAAGCAATCAAAATATACCTATGTCCCCAGCAGAGCCAAGGGCCCTGCACACCCACTTGTCCTACTGCAACTGCATGTTTGACTGCCTAAAGGGGAACTGCAGGGAATAAAAGAAAGCTGGTCTCCAAGTTCACAGCAGTAATCCCGTTAATTGCGATGAGGAGAAGCTAGGCCTGATTCTGTAGTCCCATACTTGCCGAGCAGAGGCTTCAGCATCCTGGGGTGAGTGGATTTATTACATGCTCAAAAGTAAAGCATGACATCTTTAATGTGAAGTGCGACAAACCTTTCTGTCATGGGTGCCTCAGGAATTAAAGTTGAATGACACTTGCCAAGATAAAAATCACAAAAATCCATTTGTAATGCAGGCACTCTTTTTGCTAGCTGATGGTTTTATCTCATTTTATTTCTCAGATTCCCCAAACCAGTCATTCTCAGTAGATGTCCAGACCACTGTGGTTTCATTATATTTACAAATACATAAATTATCAAGTGCATAGGCAAAAAAACTGTACTTCATAACGATGCTAGACAGAAAGGAGTAATTTTGCAAGAAGTTACCTTTACAAAGCAGGACATGTTCTTTTCAGATGTAGTCAACTGAAACCCACAAAAATGATGTACAGATGATCTAGCAGTAACAAACTTCACCTTACCTCTAATGCTAATCTCCTCTGTTTCTTTTGGAGTATTTTGAGAACATTTGTTTGAGGGAGGGAGTAAAACCAAAGCAGAGTAGCTTTTACACAGGTGGTTGAAAATTGTAATAATCACATGTAAACTATCATGGGCTTTTATCATATATCACACTAACAGGGCATAGTGGTAGTTTTTTTCATATGGCCTCCTTCATCCCTGCAGCTCTCAAGTGACCTTATCAAAGTGACCAAACCATAAGCACTTTTTCTTTGGTAGAATTCCTCCTGCCACCACTGTGTTGCAGAGCTGCCTGAGCACAGCAATGCAGCTGTTTCGCAGCGTGCCGCCTCAGGAGGATGACAGGAGTGCCACAGTCTGTTAGAAATACCGTGAGGATTTAGACAGGCAATCAAGTCTTCCAACCTGGAAGTCTGCCAGGACATCAGGCTTAAATTCTCAACTTGTGTAAAAATTGCTGGGTAATCTTCAGTTCCTGCAGAGGACCAGCAATGTAAAAACGCCTGTAATTTTTATTATCAAATAATTACAGACTACCTGCTGGGCAGAGCACATGGAGGGAGACAAATGATTGCAAATAGCCTAGAATTCCAGCAGAATTGTGTGGCTCGATTTACGCGTTCAAAGTGAATATAAGTTGTTCCTATTGTGATTGAGGAGCACTTTACTCATGGTACTGTAAATACTAACACAGCTGCAGGGTAACTGGGAACCAAACCAAGGTGTTTTTATATCAGCTATGCTTCACTTGCCTGGCACCTTGTGAAATATTCATTCCCCTTCAAAACAGGTACAGAATACTTGAACTCAGAATCATGTACTCTTGTCAGCAGTACAGGGCAATGAGTTGCCTGGCCCCCGAAGGCCAAATATTTTCTCTTCCCCTTGCCAGACTAACAAGAATAGGCAACCACACATGAAGGCAGCAGGCCAGGAAACCAAAGATTAGTAAGCCAATAAGAAAATACTGTTTGTCTGAAGAAAGTGGTCCTCTAAATAGACACTCAGGTCCCCAAAAAGCCATATCCATAAGCCATAGCAACTTTGCTTCTGAAGTTCAGTCTCTAAGAGGTAATACCAAGGGATATAATGTTTGCAGAGCTGAAAATACTGGGTGTGCTGAAAGTGCTGAGTATGTGTATTTACAACCAATGTTTACACTGTAGAACTACTTGCACTCCAGTTTCAGGGGTGTATTTGATGGGGTTCTGGGAATTAGTATGCCCTGACAGCTTTCTAGGATAGCCTGTATGTTTAGGCACAAGACTACTGCAAAAATGTTAGTGAAAGTAGAACTCAGTGTTCTTTTTAGTAAAAGATCTTTCTTAACATTCAGACTCTGGTTTTATCCAGGTAATTTCAGCTGCTAGGGATGGTCACCTGTAAAACATGGTTCTGCATCAGGGCAGAGTTTAAAGGCACAGCCAACATCTTTCTCAGTGTCTGTGAATGAATTTCAATCTATGGCTTCTTTTGTCAAGTCTCAGCCAAAAATAGATGGAATTGAATAATAAATCTCTGTTTTGAAGGGGCTGGGGGAGAAGAGCTACGCATCCCTCATGGCAAGAAGATTGAATCTCACGGGGAAACTCTGGAGGGAGCTATATACATTTAACACTCTGACTCACCAACAGGTGGACTGTGATGCAGAGTTGTCAGGTGGGGGCCGAAAAAAAGGTATAAAAAAGCTATTAAAAACCCAAACAAAACTGGAAAGGATTCTAGAATTTATCAGGAAAAAAAAAAAGTTGCAGATTCTATTTCTTTCACTCTTAAATAAAACCAATTAATATGTGCAGAGGATTCTTCATCAGTAATGCAACGTACAGAGCCTTTTTCTCATTAGCTCTCATAACATGGCCAAAGGAAGATAGAATTATTTTCCCCACAGGAACACCAGTGCCAGGGATGATACATTTTGCTTGAACAAATAAATGGTGTCATCAATGCCCGTCTTAGGACGTCTCCCAGCTATGATGTGCAGTACTGAGTACCCTGTTTCTCTCATTTCATCACAGAACAATAGTTCCCTGCTGTGCAATGTACTCTATTATTGCCACACTGTTCACCATTAGTAAAGAAAACGTGACATTGCTCTCTTTTATCACCCCTCATTTCTTATGCCAACCTAATCTCAAACACGATTTCCTCTTGCCTTTTTGTGGTTGGACTCTTCATTTGAGGCTGCTGATGGATACAGACAGAGATTGCTGGTGCTTTGGTTGTCTTTATCAGCCACCTGAGATGAACACATTCTGACAGTGGAGCAGTGAAGGAAATACCACGTTCCTTTAGTCTGTTATGTTGTGCTCTTCACTGAGAAGCAGCATTAAAAGAAATACTGCGGAGTCATACGGTGCATACCTGGTGCACTTCACAGAGTAACAATAGGAAAATGTGAATAAACCTTCAAGGGGCACCTGGCTCAGTGTATGTATTTATATGCTAAAAAGCACTGGAGTATTATTTACATGCTTAGCTGGGGTTTGTCCTTTCTAAAGAAGTCTGGACTGCTACCTGTTATACTTGGCTCGCAATGATTTAAATAAGAATTTATAGACCCTAAACCATCTGCAAAATGTCCCAGTTCTTCAAGGCCAATGTAAATGCAGTGAGGGGGGAAACCACAGAAAGAAAAGGCTAACAAGGTTTCTCCTTGCCTCCCCCTTGGCACATTTTATAATTAACTTTATAATGTCTGAGAGCAAAGGTTTGAAGCAGATAAACCTCCTGCATCCTTGGAGGTAATTGCAGCACTTTGCACAGCACATTATACCAGAAGCAACTTTCTTTGATTTCATTGCACTGCAAGTTGTTGTGAATATGTGCACTGCAGGGCACTGTGGAGTGCTGGCTTCACATCCCAACATGAAAGCAGCTTGCTGTGATTTATATCATCATGCTAATCAGGAATGTGCATTCTTTCAAGGTCCCTTTTGAGGGTAGGGGAAGAAGGAAGAATCAAAAATGAGCCAGCTTTCTATCTTGAGCAAGGTGCCACTGGTTTCCAAAGTGTGAAGGGATTAAGCATGTCATTAATTTTTGCAGACACTATAAAAGGCAGCCAGAGGGGAGATCTTGCTGCGTGCTGTACTGAGAGCTACAGGTGATAGAATCTTTGTCTGCCCTCGGACTCTATCAGCATTAAGGAAATTTAAAATTTAAATAGATCTTGAAACTCAAGCCCACATTTTCTTATGAATGACAGATCCTTCCTGCCCTCAGTCCACCACATTTCTCCAAGCCTGAAAACTGACTCTTCCTTCTTAACAGCAAAAAGTGGGAAAGACGTTTGTGGTCTGGTGGTTACACCATGGGGTTGGGAAGCAAAAGAAGTGTTGTTTCACATCTGGGCCAAGTTTCTTGTTCACCATGGACTTGATCCTGCCAAATACTGAGCACCCATTGATTTTTCAAGGCCAATCCTTCACACAATTCATGTGAGTCCAAGTTCTTGTTCCAAAG